GCAGACTTTCCTGCCCTGGTGAAGCTGGAAATACATGAAAACAAGTGTAAGCCCTAAAATACTGTAGTGAAATCATTTTAAAACAGGTTACCCCCCCCCCATCCCCTCCAAAAAAATCTCAGTCCTGCCCACATGGATGATTGAGCTCTCAGTCTCTCCTCAAAATATTAAATGCAACTCTCAAACCCCCAAAGGTTGCCCACCCTCTACTTAAGCAAGAATTGTCCTTCCTTTCCTTTGTGATATGGGACTCCTGGAAGTACAAAGCCATGATATAGATCTTCAGTTAGGATTTGAAAACTACTGTTTAAGAAACCAACTTCCTTTAAAATTGACTGTCTTCTTAAAATTATAAATAATAATTAGTCACAATGTGTCATAGTCTGGCTTGGATAAAGTGGCTTTCTGCTTCAGAAACAGCTTTTGGTGCACCAGTTACAACCTGAGCTAGATAAGATAATCTAGGCCATGATTCCTTATCTTTGATGATACCCTATCAGGAAGTTTACATTTGTACGAAATATGGCATAATTTACTGGGACCGTCAAAATGAGCCACTGTACTGACCTGCTGGCTATTGGTTCTTATTCCTGTAAAGTTCAAGGTGCTGCGTCTTCATTTTACAGTTCTAAACTGCTTGGATTTACTTTCTCCCCTATGAATGCCCTCCTATATTGTCTTCCTTGGCCATATTTCAGTGCCAATATTTTTTTCCTTCTGGAGAAAATGGCAGGAAAGTTCATTCTCTATCATACCTATGGTAAAGTTTTTGTTTTGTTTACAATTTATTATTTTCAGACTACAGTGAAGAAATATATGCTGAAACTTTACTGAACGTTAATAGCTTTCACTATACGGAGATCAGAACTTTGCAGTTCTATGTTTCTTCTTCCTTCACAATACAATGCTACTAATATTACCCTGTACCTATTGCTTATTTCCAAAAGTAGCATCTCAGTTAGGGATGCTACTCTCTGCTTTGGGAGACTGACTTGGGACTGGCTCTGATGCTTTTTTGCAACCAGGTTAAAACCTTTTTTTAGCTGCCCAGGACATTCATTTTTGCATCTGTTTTGAGGCTGGAGATTTACTTGCTTTTAGATTTATGCTGTTGTTATTACTGTTATTACTATTATCATAATCATCAGAATTATCAAAAAGTATTTAAACATAGACTGTTGAGTGGCTCCTCTAATGTTTTAATTACAGATTTCTTGTATTGATTAGAGACTTAGTCTAAAAGTTCTTCTACATTCTTTCTAAATCAAAAGTGCTATGATTCTGTCTTGATGGATTTAAATCAGCAGATGACAGACTGAGGGCCCAGAGTATATGTAGCACTTTAATGCTTCCTAAACAACTCCAAAAGTTGCCACCAAATTGTAATGTTTAATATGACAAAATAAGAACATGGTTAAATGTGCAGAGAGCCATTGTATGAACTATATTTAGTAAGGGAATTAATTCATTAATAATCTTTAATTACATTAAACCAAATATAAGGATTAAATCCTTGAACACACCTACTTTATGTGGCCCCAAACAGACCACATAAAGAGAAAATGTGACTTTTTACTCAAGAAAGGTTGCATTTGACTATTTTAGATCTTACTCCATTCTGAATGTTTCTTCTTCTAACACTGGCTGCTCTGTTTTCACAAACTACTGGGAAGTTATTTAAAGTGTTTCCCCAGTTTCACTCCTCTCCATTGAATTGGTGTGTCAAATATGTGTTTCAAGTGTTATGTGAAAGCATAAGCATTGCTCCTTGCAGAATGTCAAGAATGCAAGAGATTTCAGATTCCTTCTGGAAGTCATGACAACATACTAAGTATTTTCTTTGTAAATGCTGACTTTTAATCAGGGGAGTTCCTCTGATAAAAGTTCACACAGCAGTCTGGCAATCTGATCTGTCTACATCCCTTCACCTGCATTAGTCAGCTCCAGCCATGGCTATGAAGTACAACCTGCAAAAGCTATTCCAATTATTGACCCTGTTTTAAAGAAATTAAGCTGTTCTCTCTGCAAAGTTCTTCATACGGCAACTTGTTCTTAATGAAGCATGGTCGTGGAATGTGAGAAAATGGCCCATAGCATGGGCTAAGAAGACAATCACAGAGAGAAAATAAGCTTTTCCAGGTTGAGACTCAAATCAATGCCCATTCTTTTGCCTCCATGTATGTGCTCTGTGCATATATGCACATCTTGTGTCCCATTTTATCAGTTTCAGAAGAAATGTAAAGGGATGGAGGTATCTATTTCAGATCCCTCAATTCACTTCTCCTTTGGGGATGAAGGCTTTATCTCACAATTATTTTAAGCAAAGCCATAGTACTTTATGAACCTGTTGTAGATGCTTCCTAATTTCAGATTGGTTTCAATATGACTAGGAAAGCAAGGTGTTGAAAATTTAACTTTCAATAATTGGTGGAGTTTCTTGCCTTCTGAACAAATCAAGGGCTGACTAAATTCATGTCATTGTAGCAATTGTGCATGATTGTACATGCATGCACAAAGCTGGAAATTATAGATATTAGAAAATACCCCAGCTCTTATGTTTTTTGGGGAGGGGGTATTCCTCACTAATGGATGCTCTGAGAATTTTTCCCTTCCCATCTAGCTACTTCCCTTACAGGATGCTTCCCACAATCCCTGCTTTCCTTTGCCCTTTTTCCAGACAGATATACTTCCAAACCGAACACTCAGCTTTGTTTTTATTGTGTGAATCCAGGTGATTGTGTGAATCCAGCTTATTCAGCAAACTGTGGTTAATCAAAGCATATCTTAACACAACTTGGGAAGGGAGTTAAATGGTATTAAGATATGATGTCATCTGTCAAATGCTACATTATTATTGCCTACCGTAGGTGGCCACGCTTATCTGTCTTGTCTGATCTCAAAAAAATAAGCATGATTGGACCATTAGTCTTGGACCACCGGGAAAACCGATTATCAGCTCCGGCAATAAGTATGTCCAAGAATTAATAAATAAAAACTGAATTGCTGCAGCCCTGGGTGTTGGCATATGCTGATCAATTGGGGGGGGGGAGAAACACAAGATATTGCCAGGAGGGGGGAAGAAGGTATCTTGAGTGTTTTGTGAGGTGTTAAGTGGCTGTTTGGTGAAGGGCAAGCCTCATTGTAGCAGCCATTTCGTTTGCACAATCATGATCTGTCAAAAAGTGGACTGGCATAAAAAAAAACCTGGAGATCCCAGAATCTCATGATCACACTGAGCCAAGTGAAGATGCTTTCAGCTGATAAAACTTACTAGACTCTCCTTCAAGACACTTGGCTGTGGACTATCTCAAGATAGCCATTTATTGCCTTGATACTCGTTAGATTTCTATTTGGCCTTTTCTCTAGGACCTCAAAAAGGAAATCTCCCTCCATTGTATCCTCACAATAAAACTTAGGAGGTAGGCTGGGCTGAGAATGACAGGCCCAAAGTCACAGCAAGTTTCCACAGCTGAGGATGGATTTGAACCTGGGTATCCCTAATCCCAGTCCAAAACCTTAACAATATACCATCTCCTTGATAAATGGGATCCACTTGCATTAAAAGCTTATGTTTATGTTTCCAGAAGAGCCTGTGACTTGCATCACTGGACTTGATGCAATCATATGCACACACAACCCCTCACCCTGGAATGAAAGATCGTGGTATAGTTTCTGGGACCGGGGATTTGCTGCTTGCCCTCACCCTGGATGTCCAAATACCATATTATTTTGGACTGTCTGCAATGTAAAGCCTACAAAAGGACTGCCAAACATAAGCTACAAAAATCCAAACAACCAGTAGGAAGCCACAAAGGTTTCTGCATGTCTGCTGCCATCTTCTGGCCATCGGGATTTTTGTAGCCCAGGTCTGTCTGTAATGCGTAACTTTCCATGCAATCACACAAACCTGGGAGTCTTGTTTGAATGGAAAACTCTGACTGGATTGCCATGAGGTTGGTTTTGCAGCCAGTGTCTTGAGTCCACATTCCTGTATAGCGTGAGGCGAACTGAAGCCATGTGCATGCAACTGTCTGCCACAAACTTCTTTCTTGGAGCTAAAGGGTGGGTGCCTCTGACCAACACTAGAGCTGTTTGTGGCTCAAACCAGAAACAAACAATCCCAACCTAAACCCTGTTCTATTCAGTTGGTCTTACTGCTTTGAAAGTATGTTTAGGTTTGCATTGTTATTTAACAAAATGGAAACAATACATCTGCTTATGCGCACTTTCAGTTCTAGTTTTTTGGCTGCAGTACATCTTGACTCCCCATCTGCCAAACCACTCTACAGCCGTCTGAATTGTTCTGGAAGTTTTACATCAGGAAGGCCTGTCAGATCCCAGCTACAAAAACCAGAACGAGCACTCAATGGCAGCAGGAACTATAATTTGCTCTCCCTCTTGGCTGCCATCTGGAAGTTGCCTAGATTTTGCAGCTCAGATATGGCAGTCCTAAATGTCCCTATTCCCACTTTCTGGCTTGTAATAGTTTTTTTTTTCCTGTGTACTTATACAACATTATCATGAATTCAGGATTTTTCAAGCAGCACAAGCTTAATTTTTGTGCTTTTGCAGTCAGGGTTCCTTTCATGCACAGCTCAACTCTGGAATTAAACCGCACCATTTTATAACAGAGCGGCGTAAATTAAAGCAAGCGATAATCATACTTTAAAACGCTGAGCCGGCGGTGGCCTGGCAACTAAAACTATAAACGCTTTCTTTTCTGCGCATGCGCTGGAAAATAGGGGGAACCCTAGAAGGTTCAGAAAAAACGAGAACATGCGCGAAAGTTTAAAACGCGCATGCGTCGCTATCTGGACTGAGACGCGGGCAGTGCTGCTGGTTGGGGGGAGAAACGGGCGAGAGAATGTGCGCGAAAGACAGTAATGCGCATGCGTCATGGGAAGGTGGTGGAAACGTGCATGCGCGGAACAAAACATCCGGCGGCATTTGGTAAGCGCGCCGTTGAGGACGACGAAGCGGCAAGGTGGCGGCGAGTGGCGCGCATGCGTGCTTTGGCATCTGACTTAAGGGGATGGTGGAAGAAAAGGGGGGGTGAGTATTTTGCTGCGTCACCAGCTGCCTGGAAGCTGCCGTTGCTGGAGAAGGAGCGAGCGAGAGAGAGCGCGCGCGCGCGGCATTGTGGGTAACAGGCCTCAGCCTTTCAGCCCCGAGGACGAGCCGCTGCCGCTCCTACCGCCACCGCTGCTGCTCCCACCGCCGCCCTGCCACCACCTCGTCCTTGCCGGGAGACCTTCAGTCCCGCTTTCGTTTTTCCGGCCGGAGCCCTTGGAGAGACGGAGAAAGAGGAAGGAGCACGAGTCGGAGCCGCTGTCGCTGCTAACATCGCTCGCCATGTGAGTGAGTGAGGCAGGCCGGGAACGGTCAAACTGGCTTCGGACGATCCCTGGCGTGTGGCAGCGGGTAGATGAATGTGTGTTATCTGGGAACGTAAAAATCGTTCTCTCACACACACCACCACCCATGCTTTTATTGAGCGTAGATCTGGGGGAGCGGGTGTGTAGATGGCTAGTGTTTAATGATGCAGCGGTGAGAGAAAGGTGGCCTAACGTGGGGTTTTCTATGGGATACGGCGCAGTTTTTCCTTCGTTTTTCTTCTTCCTTCAGAGCCTGGGCTTCGCTTCCTTAAATCTGTAGGAGAAAAGTGCCTCTGTGCGCGTGCGGAGTGCACTTCCTTCGCCACTGTTTTAACGACGACCTCGCCACCATCATCGGCTCCAGCTTAACCGACCTTTTTTTCCCCTTCCCTTAATCTATACCGAAATTACGAGCTAGTTGGTTCTTGTTGGAGCGTCCAAAATCCTGAGAAAGTGGAGATCCAGAAATTGGTTGTGTTATGTAATATCTGGGATATAAGAACTAAAGTATGTGCTAGTAATATTGGGAGGAAAATGGTTACTTGTCTAAACGGGGGCGGGCGGAGTGAGGCTGGAAGTTACTCGTAGGGAAGAGCTATAAAGCAGCTTTTATTTTAGGAGCTAGGAGGGCAAGGTCATAAAGGAGACAAGATTTCTGAGAAGGGAGGGAATAGTGCAGCGAAGGAGATCAAAATGTGAATGAAATAATGTGAAGTTCTTGGGGTTTAGTGGGATGGATTGGAAGTTAGAACATAACTCATTTTTCCCTGTTTCTTACTGTAGTGGAGTAGGCATGTTTAAGCGTGGGAATAAGACTTGTGGCTTGTAAAAGGAGGAATAATGGAGGCCAGGCTGAAAAATGTGCTTATACATACTGAAGGGAAAAAAATCCCTTGAGCAATAGTGAAAGAGATAAAACAAAAGGCAAATCCTTTTTACTGTTGCCAGGAGTGCTAATATGGTAAATACATAATATCTAAGAAGTGAGAGTATATAGAAGATGAGCTGCAGTGTTGATAAGAATCTTGAAGTAAATTGTGAATCTTTTTGAATCTGAGTTTTTTTGCTCTCAGAACAGTCTGTTCCTGAGATGATGAAAACATACCTAGCCTTTTAGATTCTTTGGAGAGGTTCAAAGGGCTTGCCAATATAAAAATTTCTAATGTTTTTTGTCAGGTTACTGGCAACATCTAGTTAACCTTGGTTTATTTCAAAAAGCTAAATAGAATCAAACCTGGTTAGTACTAAATATGTATGTGTGTGCCTTTGAGTCAGGGTCAATTCCTGGCAACTGCCTGGACCACTAGGATATACCAAAATTGTACACTAGATGGGAAAATTTAAAAAAAATCCTGGAAGAAGACAATCACAGACCATTTCCATAATGCTCCCAAGAAAATTACATGGGCATGTTCATGGGGTCATCAAGAATTGAGTTATACTTGAAGGATACTTTATTGTAATGTCTTAAAGTTATATCATAGTTTTGATTTTGCTCAGGTTTTGCTGTGACATAATCTTATTATTTAGACTTAATCATTTTCATTTTTCCTGTAGGTGTAAGAAGGGAGGCCTCACCTTCCAAGTGCTCTCTGGTTAATTTATTTTCTAATCATAGAATAGCAGCTTTATTCCAGGCTGAAAGTGGAATAAAAGTGGAATTCAATTTGGCACAAAACAGTTGTGGGAAGCAAAGTTCCAGGAGAGAATATTTTGTACAGGTGAAGACTTTCAGCAGCCGCTGAGACAATTATGATAGACTCCCAGTCAAAAATCCACATTGGACTGCTTTCTTGTTTGCCTGTTAACCAAACTAGTTTGGAAAGAGCAGTTGCTCTGCATTAATGATTTAGAAGCATTTAGAAATGTCCTCCTTAAATGCTAGTATTGGCACATGTTATTGGGCTAAATGATAGGGTGCATCCACACAATTTTTGTGTGAAGATTTTTGTATGCTCACTTGTAGAATATATTGCTGTTGCTTGATTGGAGAGTGAAGTTCAGCTCATTCAAGCCAGAAAGTTTTTTAAAGAAATACTGTATTTGACAAAATCATTTCTAAAAGGGAAATGAAGAATAGGTGACAAGAATGCAAAATGCTGCTTGCTCTGCAGGGGTAATGTGGAATTAAATACAGGTAGTCCCCAGTTTAAGAATAAGTTCCGTTCCCAAGGTGTACCCTTAAGTCGAACTTTTATGTAAGTCAGAACAGTATTATTGTATAATATTGTATGAGTAGTATTGTGTATTTAACTTGAATTTTGCTACAATAGGCTCTGTTCTTAACTATGGGTAGTCTGTAACCTGGGTCTTCTTAACCCTGGGACTACCCCTATACTGCTTCAAGATGGTTCTGTGAAATTATATCTGGAAGATTAAAGAGATTGAGGCATTTTGGCTCAATACATTCGTACTGGCCTTGACCATTTGTTTGCTGTTTGTGCCACTCTCAAATAATGTTTAATTTTATTGATCTCTGGTGAAAACAGGATCTACATCCACATAATTGTGCTCACTATTGTTTAAACATCTGTGTCTGAGTTGCAAGCTCATATACTCATACTACCTCCTCCCTGAAAATGTTTTGATTCAGCCTTCTCCAACCTGGTTATCTTAAGTGTGTGAACTTCAGCTCCCAGAGTTCTTGGCAATAGCCATGCTGACAGGGGAATTCCGGAAATTGAAGTCCACATAGCTGAAGGGAGACTATGTTGAAGAAGGCTGTGATTTATTCCCTTTTTGGTTTGATAAACCAGTGTGTGCTACATTTGAGTTGTATAAACTGTTTTGCATAAACCTTTGTCTCGAAATAGAATTGCAAGCCATTTTCAAACTCTGGTCTTCAATCATGTTTTGTGGGTAATGTATTATTCATTTATTTATATTTCAAATTTGGTCACCACCCATCTCATTAGGAAGGGACTCTGGGCAGTTATGCAAACCATAGTTTGTATGATTAAGATGTAGTGGCAAGTTACATGTTGACCATATCAAAAGGTGAAGATGAGAATTGGAGCTTTTGGGAAGGTGCATATCAACAGCTCAACAACTTTTAATTTTTATAACTTTTAGAATATGTTTTAATTATCAAATCATATATGCAGTTAACTCACAAATTATATTTTATTTTTCTTAATTGCTGCTCTTTATGTGATGGTGTTGTAGGTAACTATACATTTGGGGCTAACTCTGCAGTCCATACATCCATACATAAGTTTCACATAGCTATGCTTACCCACTTAAAACTTCCCTAAAGGTAAAGGTAAACTAACTCCCATAGTTGATAATTGAAATCACCAGCAGTTATGTAGGACTTGTATATGGATCTGGAGTCCTTAATGGAAAACACATGAAATCATTAGCTGCTGTCATATAATGCTGTCAGGAACTTAGTTTAGAAATGGGATGCTCCTGCAGTATTGTACATACTTGTGGCTTTAAGGACATGGAGTATCTGTCCACAAAATCATACCCCAATGTTATATGTGTCAAGAGTTGGAAATGCACAGCTAGTAAGAAAATGGAACATGCTGTGGTTTCACACATTCCCTTCCCTGTTACACATGCATCACATCTGTTTATTGTTGCATTGAATTGCAGCCAAATCTTTAGTGCTAGGTACTCCAGAATGAAATAGAGCCCAGTGTATACCAATTTCAGTGATAATTATAGGATGGTGAGAATATATATACACAAAAGGGCAGTTCTGTCATTATATAAGAAGTTGAAAGTATGGCAATAAGAGGCAGAAGAGAGTGTATTTCAGTAGTCCTTAACAGTACTTACATTGAAGTACTGTTCTTAGAACATAACAGGATGAAAAGTAACCATTCACTTCTTTGAGGCTTAATTGTGGATTACACCTATTTCTTGCCATTTGTTTTTATATAAGATTGTTGCTTGGTAGTTTGTTCCAATCTTCCTCTAACTGAATTTCAGCTGACCAAATTTAATGTTCTGGTTTATTTGATGTGAATACTTATATCATTGTTGCAAGAATAATTGCAGTAATCACCTAGAGTTCTTAACCATACTGAATGCAGGTCCAAACATCTAAAACTGCTACTTAGCTATGTACAGTCTGGTGCTTTAAAATCCAGGAAATGAGCTCAATACATACACAACTACTGTGAAATATATTCTTTTTTTGTTATTTTGTAGTTAGATTTGTTAAATTGAATCTTGAGGACACAATAGGTCATAAACTGTTTCCTATGCTATGTAAGGCATAAACCAAAATAATTCCTTTCTGGCACAGTGATGTTGAATCTGAATCAAATAGCAGCACATGCATTTCTGGCACTTGGTTGGTACATCAATTATATTCCTGCCATTTACATCTATTCAGTATCTACAGTGGGCTTAATTGTCTTGTATTTTTAAATCCCATTTGAGTGCTTAAAAATGCTTTATATAAGAAAGTCATTTTTGAACCATTTTGGAAAATCATCTCACTGAAGAACATCAGTAATGTTAGATAAGCTTTCAAAAAAAAAAGCTTGTTGCTATTGTCTTCCCTTGCAGTATACATCTATAAGAAAATGTGTGTTCATATAGAATGAGAGCAGAGTCTAACAACTCAGGAAAAAAATCCATATGCTCTAACTGTTCACTTCAGAGCAGGTTTCAGAAACTTCTACAATGTATAGATAATTCAGTGAGAAAAAGGGTAATGTAAATTAAACAATTTCGTGATGCAGATATCAAAAAACTGAAATTGTATACTTTTATGGCATCTATGAACATCATACATTTCTATAAGCTAACTCTGATTGTCAGTTGTAACCTGAAAGGCTTTGGCATGCAAAGAGTAGAAATCTTTGCCAAGAAAATTTGAGGGTGTACTTTGCAATATTGAAAATTACATGTTTTTGCCAAATAAATGTTTTTTTAGTACTGATTTTTTTGCAATCAGTTCTGGATTTCTTTTAGTATTGGGGAAATTTTATTATGCATCTGGTTGACTGCAATTCATGAAGAGGGCAGTAGGATTTCTTAAAGATAAAAGTTTACTTGATGATCAGGGGAAGTATATTGCTTGTCTGTGATGGTAGCAGTTGATTTAAAGATTAGGCTTATATAACCTGAAACATTAAAACACCTACCATACTCTAAGCCCAATTTGAACTGACCTAAATTCTTAGTAATTTGAAATAAAAATATGCCAGTTTGCAGTCCAGTTGTTTTTTGAGGCCTTAAGTATTTTTTCCTGTTTATACTTATGATAATATGTTCTTTAAAAGCTATTCCAGGGGCTTAAATACATTCTACCTTTTTTCAGGCCTGAGCCATCTTAGCTAAAATGAGAATAATTAATAAAACTTTAAATTACAGTTACACTTTAAAAAATGCTTTACTAGAACAGTAAGTTTAAATAGACAAGGTTTGTATAGTTTTGTAAGATATAAATTCTTGAGCACAGAACTAAATCTTTGAAAAACCTGAAGGGAACTTGCTTCAAACTTTGTTCCAATTCTGAGTATACCTAAAAAACAAGCAAAAACTTACTTGTGTGGATATAACATTAAGGCACAATTGGTGAAAATTCTGCCTATCGTTCACTATTTTCCCTGCTTGGTTCTTCCTGCTAAACCAACCAAAGTTAATGAGGAGGCAAACATTTCCTTTTACATCTAAGATTGGACTTTCACTAGTTTTTCCCTTCCCAAATCAGGAATGAGAAATCAAATTCAAATGTAACTTCAGTCTCTAGTTGTAGGGTGCAACAATCACAAGAATTCAAGCATAGTGGAAAGGTTTTGCTTCTGAGAAGAAATAAGCAATGTGACTGGGCAACATGTAGCATGAACAGTAAGCCAAATTTTACAGTAATTCTGGATTATTATATTTGAACACCACTACTGTGTAGATTACAGGAAATTCTGTAAACACTCTACAATCAAAATAGCCTTTTTAAAAAATTCCTCATATGTCTTTTGAAGAGCATCCATGTACATGTGTTATAGAAAAGAAGTAATGAGTGAAAATCAGCCACTCTGGAATTGAACAGATTTTTTTTTTTTTCGTCTGGAAATTCCAGACTCAAGAATCTTCCCAGAAAAAGAAAATGCACCCTTAGTCTCAAGGTAATGATTTAGTTGCTGCATCTCAGGGTCAACATGAAGTATTCAGCTTGATGTAAACTCAGCAAAAGAGGATGTAATGTATGCTGCCTTTTGATAGCTCATTGCTTTGATTGCAGCAGTTATCTTGATGTGCTGGCTTTGCCTTTGTTTATATCAAGACCATGGCAACAGAACTTGGCTATGTGCTGTGGCTTCAACAACTTCTGTTCAACAGAGCTTGTGTGTTACGAATTTGTGATGATCTGTATTTTTGCTTCCTATTCTACAATATTCAGTATGTGATGGTATAATTGGTCTCCTGGGCAGAACTCAGGATCCCATGTGTGACTCCTTTATGAGCATGGCAATAATCCACTCCTAAAAGTATTTGCACACATGTTCTTATGAGAACTGGTACATTAATGCAAGGATTGTTCAAATCATTGCCATGCATTTGCTTTATTGTGGAAACCAGAAGATCTGTCACTTCATGTGAATCACAACAGTATGAATGTTAAGGAATGCTCCATCTCTCACTAGCAGGAATTGTGCTGCAGTCCTAGAGCACTCTCGTGTGGAGTTTCTGTGAATCAAGAATATGATCATATGTGGAATCCTTGGTGCTCTCTGAGCTTGGTTGTTTGCTTGCAGACATTTTATTACCTAGCTAGGTAACATCAGTGCTGGTGGGTGGGGTTTGCCCCCTATTTATGTACAGTAGCTTGCCTTGCCAGCATTAATGAGGATAGGGTTTTCTCCTTGGTAGTTCCTTGATTAGGGTATTGTTTTCTGCTTGATCGCTTGTCTGGTGTTAATCCCTGCTTACCTGGGTGTTGGCTACTGGAAAGGATGTGTTATGGTCTTTTTGTTTCCTTCTTAGCTATTTTATTGTCTCTTGAATGGTGTGTAAATGCGGTTTATCTCTATGTGTAGCCATCAATACCACTGAGCCATCAAGGTACGTTCAGCCATCAATAGACACATAGGGTTCCCATAATTGTATGCTCTAGAAAACTAAGACACACAGAGAATTTGTATGCAGTCTTAATTTCATGTAAAAAATGGGAGAGCAACCAAAAAAAAAACCAATAGGGCTGTGTAAAAAGAACTAAGGGGGGGAAACACTTGAAAAATAGCAGCTTTAGCAGTCAATATTGTATGATATTACTTTGTCAGATGGTTGTTAGATATTTATATTTATTAATTTAATTCTCAAATTATTTTTAGGCAGCCTGCTTCAGCAAAGTGGTATGACCGAAGGGATTACGTCTTTATTGAATTTTGTGTTGAAGACAGTAAAGATGTTAATGTAAAATTTGAGAAAGCCAAACTTACATTCACGTAAGTAAACTATATTTATTTCATTAAATTTATTATAGCTACCCACTCCAAAAGACTGAAAGCTGAGCATGAACAGCATTGATATGAATAAATTGGCTCTTTTGTTGATATTGAGAGTACTTGATTTTTATTTTCTTGCAGTTGTCTTGGAGGAAATGATAACTTCAAGCATTTAAATGAAATTGATCTTTATAATTCTATTGATCCAAATGTAAGTTGTCTTCCTTTTTCTATCATTACTTAAGTTTTAACATGTCAAAAAACACTGTTGTAACTTGTTAGTCAGCCAAGGCTATGGTTAAGTAGAAATGCTAAGCTGCCAAATTTTCATCCTTATTGATTATTTGTTTATTCTCATTTGTATAATGCCAAATTTTTTAAAAAGCTCATTATGCATACCTGCTTGTTTGTAAAATTCCAAGAATTGTGTTACCACAAGGAGTATGTGCCTGCATATTTGCTTTTCTTTTTATTGCTGTCCCCCCCCCAAAAAAAAAGTGTTTCCAGGGCACTTTGGTTAGGAACCCTTTCATTGATGCACTTGATTTAGTATGTCTTCTTCACCTGATGGTGACTAATTACAGATTGTATGATTATTTTATTGGGAAAGGATTATTAGTGGATGTCTTTGTTACACTGAGTAATATACACTAAAAACTGTTTTGGGGTTCATTAGATGGATTTAGCAGATCAGGTGCTTCTATACAATTGGAAACACATATTTAGTTCCTTACCTACTTATGTGTTTCCAATTGCATATTCTTATATTTATGCATTTGCATTGTTTTTATTGTACCATACTGTGGGCTGGGAGCGATGTGATTGAATACTCTTTCATATTAAAACGATCCTTTCTATTTCCAGAAAATCCATGTAATGGCAAATCATAAGAAAAAAGCAGGAATATGGGGGTGGGGGGCATTTAATTGGGTAAATCTGAATTCTAATGTAATATAGCCAAGGAATAGCTTTACTCTATCTCCTGTTGTAAGAATTAGACATACATTGATCATAAAAGAATTTTTTAAACTTTTTTAGGAATCCAAGCATAAAAGAACAGACAGATCTGTTTTATGTTGTTTACGAAAAGGAGAATCCGGCCAGTCATGGCCACGGTTAACAAAAGAGAGAGCAAAGGTAAAAACTGTTTCACTGTACCATTTTGTATCAGTCTTTCTCAAACTATTAAAATAGGCCCCTCTTCTAAACATGTTTTCCATTATGAATACCCAACCCAGCACTATATGTTGGGATATGTCTAAAATGGAAAATGTATTTTAATTAAGCTTGGAACAGAACAGCTAAGTTTCAAAATTAAAAATCCTTCAACAATTTATTATTTTTAAAAACCCAAATCTGCTATCCCCTGTTTTCGGCAGTTTCTTCCTTAAATAAAACACCTAGGCTCTTGGCAAATGCATTAACGTAGGACAAAGAGAACTAATATCACCATTATTTCAGTTAGCACATAGTAGTTAAAACAATGTAGGAGCTATATCTCCATTGCTCCTGGGAAGGAAAAGCTAAAGAAACACCCCAGCTAGTCAAATTGTAATCTTTCCTTTGATTAAAATTAATTTACAGTGCAGCTGTGCTGCTTGAAAGCCTATATATCTATATTAATATATAGAGTCTTATGGCACAATACAGTAGCAGCAACAATAAACCAGTACCTTCCCCAAGCTCTACAATCAGCCAGCCTAACACATTTTGAAAAAAGTTGTGGTATAGAACTCAGTCAGCAGAAAGTAAATGCCATAAGCTCAGTACAGGTTAAAAAGAGTAGAGTTTGCTTACTGACAATTCCATAGTGATAATCTTCAATCTTGGATATTTTTAAAAGTACTTTGGAAATTCAGAAAAGGGCATGGGAATATGCATAGAGTAAACCCCATCCAGTAGAACAAACCAGTTTAAACCAACAGTTCACCCTGAAGCTCAGCATCAATAAGATACAAGAATATACAGCGAGTGCACGTTGACAAAGCTCAATAAATCAACCAGATCAATATCTTTGCATTTACACAACCTCAAAGTGTGTGAGAGAGAGAGAAGTATTACCTCCCTGGGAAATAAAACACAGCACAACACGTGAAGCACCCGTGTTTTGTTTCGACTCAGAACATTTGAAACAGTTGTTTTGAGATTAGAACATTTAGCACAGTTACTGTACATCTGTCATATACATGTTCATTCCATGTCTTTTACAAGCAGTCACATGTACACCATCATTTCTTGCATGTTCAATGAATTTGTGATGCATATTCAACATTTCATTCTATAAGAAATAGACTGGGTGGTCTCTGTTCTAATTCTTCTTTTGCTTACTTGTTAAACATATTTGTAAGCATAAATGTTGATGCAGACCTTTTTAGGCTGCCATTCCCCAAATCAGATTGAAATTATGAATATTAAGGGAATTATGATACAATGGGGAAAACATGAATAAGACTTCTACGCTATTGCATGGAACTGTGGGGGAAATCTAGTCCCAGTTTTATGCTGGTAGACCTGTTCTAGTCAGCAAAGTGGAAAGGAGGTGATTTTGTTTCCCTTTTCCTCTTAGTTTTCCTAAGGATGGAAAACTCTTTATCAGTAGAATAGAAGCAGAGAAGCACTTTTCCATTTGAAGGTTCCTAAGCTTCTCACATTATTTAACATGATGGCTTGATTACATGCTGCTTGAATTACATGTTTACTTTCTATATCCATAGCTCAATTGGCTCAGTGTGGACTTTAACAACTGGAAAGACTGGGAAGATGATTCTGATGAAGATATGTCCAATTTTGATCGCTTTTCTGAAGTAAGTGAAATATTTTGTGTAGGAAGGTGATGGCAACATGGTCCCAATGAGTGATGGATTGGCTATAATGCTGCTGCAGAGCATTTAGTGTATTTGTAACACAGAATGTTTTATTAAAAAAAAAAAGTGGGGGGGAACTGAAGAGATCTCATGAAATTTCACATAAGAATGCCAGTTTCTCAAGAATTCACTTTTTTGTGTGAGATTTTAGCCATTTATGTGTGCCATCGTGTGATAGAGCTTGGCACCTGAAAATAGTGCTTAATTGGATGGCTTAATTGGCACTATTATTGATGGTAAAGTTCTAATTCTTGGTGTGGCAAGGAGCAAAAAACCATCTTGCTTTAAGTTGCTTAAGTCCAAAATAACAATATGAAACCTCACTGAACATTATTTCTTTTGTAATTAGATGATGAACAACATGGGTGGTGATGAAGATGTAGATTTGCCAGAAGTAGATGGAGCAGATGATGTGAGTAACTTTTTGTAAGGTATACTTCACCTTAAGTATTACTATGGGTGTTGATAACACTGTGTAAACAGGCATAGGAATTTGTATTATTCTACTAGAAACGTCTGTTGGAAATGTATGTCTAAACTTCATTTGGTACAAAGGTGACATTTGCACATACTGTAGTCTTAAATTTGATGTCAAAAGTGCTGTGCATATAATTAAACTTGAGTCTTGTTTGGGCCCTGGAAGACTACAGATGTCTAGAGACTTGCCTATGGAGGCCCAGAGGCCCACAGAATAATTTTTCAGGTCTGGTGCTATATGGCTTTTTAAAGCACTACACTGACTTTACTTGCTGATTTTGTCTCTTTTTGTTACAGGATTCACCAGATAGTGATGATGAAAGTAAGTTGATAGTTTTGGGGCATTTATTTGCCATATTATACATCTAGTAAAATTAAGAAAATACCAGGAATTTGTGAATATTTACTGGTTTGTCTCTCCCATACCTCATCCTTTTTATTTCAATCAAGGATAGTTAATAAAAGTTGCCACTGAAGGTAATTTTCTTAGAAAAAGTTTCCTTTGTACATAAGGCGACTCATGTATCTCTCAAGGATTTTGTTTACCCAACTGTATTTTAATTGTTTGCTCTGTCATTGGGATGGATTTTGCAAATGGGATAGCTGATTCCATACTTCTGTGAAATTTCAGCAGGTGGTAGGATTTAATATTTGGAATATACTAGGAAAGCTACTTTGGGAAGTGAAATTATTCAGGCCTTTTTAGCTTACAACCAGTATTTTGGAAACCAGATAGTGGCAATAAGGTCTGAGGTAATATGACATTTTGGCCAGTTTATCACTGTAGCTTTGAATTCCTCATTCACCACTGATCCAGGATCCAGTAGTCTTAAGCATGAAGGTTAAGGCCCAGCAGGAAATCTGTTTGTAGTAAGAAAACAATATCTGACAAGGTTTTATTTAAATGTAATCATTTCTATTGCTGAGGTCTCCTTATAAAATTGGTTACAAATCCTTAAGTGCTACAGTTAGTTATTTTCAGTTTTCCTGTGGCTGTTGACACTTCATGGACAGAGATACTACTTGAGGCTTACATTCTACATCAGCCTTGCCCAACATGCCAGCCATGCCCTGCTTGCTAGGGATTTTGAGAGTGGATATCATACATATGGAGGATACCAGGTTAGACAAGGCTGTTTACACAGTAATAAGTTACTTGCTGTGAATTGGAATCTATTTCACCTCCTATAAGAAGTTTTCCTATTTTATTTACAAATGTTTAGCAAGCTCTTTTCCTAATAACCTGGTAGATTCTCTTGTTATTGGGTACCTTGTATCCAAATGGTAGAATTCTCTTTTCACCGCTAATTTCTCTTCCCTCAATATTTTACACGGGGTTCGCTTTCTTTTTTCGAGTTGTGGTTTAGCAGAAGTGGTAACATAAATGATTTTGTATTACCCATCAGTGTAATATACCTTTTGAACTTGTCAGAGTAATATATTGCCCGTATAAAATCTACAAGGGCCTATAAATACAGCCTTTGGTTTCTTGGTAGCCTCTCTTTGCATTTGCTTACCAATCTTTTCTCCTTCCCAGCCCCCAGTCCTGTGTAATAAGGGAAAGGATTACTGTGTCTTGTGCTGTGATTAGAAAATATAAAACATTGTGGGACATTGCCATTATGTATCCAGACTGTAGTACATTTGGGAAATGGAGTATGCAATTGGCATATTCCTCATCAAGGGTAGTAATCCAGATATTTGTGAAAGCTATCATACCTTTGTATATTCTAGCTTAACTATAAAATGGCGTATTGTCACATTTTTGGCGGTTGTATTGAAAGTTATGGCTGTTTTTCTTTACAATAATTAGACTATTGCTATAAGCAACAATCAATTATCTTTTCTTCTTTTTTCCTCAGAAATGCCAGACCTGGAGTAAAAGAAACTGACAGATGTTGGGGTTTGGGGAAAGACTTCATCACAACATTTCATAATTGAGATAAGAATTCCTGAGTTGATAGCTCTAAAGACAGAAAATGCATCCTTTAATTCATCTTCAACCTGTTTTAAGCAGCTTCATTGATTGGTGCATACCATTGTTCAGGGCAGTCTTAAGCTATGTGAGGCAATAATGTTAGCATGAAAGTTTTCCAGACTTCCAAAAAAGGAACAACAAAAACCCAACCACACAAATATTTGAGGTGTAGGCAGTCAAAACAGTTGCAATAAAAGGGTTTATAATGCCTCTTTGCCTCATCGTAAGATGTTACAATGGGTAAACTCAATTTACATGAAGTGGTAAATGTATACTTTCCCCCTCATATTGTGGACTGCAGACAACTCAAGTTTCAGATTTTGTGGCTGGAACAGAACTGGCTGAAGCAATGTTCTAATTGGCTTTTGAAATTTAAGCTGGTAACATGCTGTACCTCCAGGGGTATCTTCAGGGTATGTTCCACTAATGTTTAATGCTTTTCACTTTGTTGTATTTAATCACTAGTTAGTGTTCAAAATATCCTAGGTAAAACTAGCAACCCCTTTAAAACTTAAAATGGGTGAAGCCTGTACACTTGGTTGTTTGATCCTCAGAGCTCATGGATCTCTTACTATGGAGAAGGGAGCCTGTACGTTGTTGCTTATCAATCTGTACATTTAGACCAAATTGTATTTGCACTGTTGGTATGAAAGCGAGTGACAAAATGTTAATACACTATTGGATCTTTTGTTTTTTGACCAGCTTATGATAAGCCTGAAAACCTCAATTTGTGTTCAAAGCAGTGGGGATTTTTTAATGTCTACATTATTTCTAATAAACTGTTGAAGACTCCATGGCTGTCAACTGTCTGGCTGGCTGTAACTTCATGTATTCTTACTATTTGTTGGAATGAAGTACTTTATTTCTAGTTGGAATAATAGTATAGGATTGTTCAACTGTTTGAAGGAGGGGGGAAAATTAATATTCCCAAGCAATTCCCCTTAAACAAAATCGGACCTGTAAGTTTTGAATACTGATAGCAATTTAAAGGAAGTGTTGTGATTTGACTAAAATAAAAAATGGTCATCCCTTAAAATGTTGAGCTTCTGCATTTCACACCTGATTTCTGCAATACTTATTTTTTTAAATGAGTATATGTGACTGCAGTTTGACCACAAGAGTTCATTGAAGAATATTTCAATATAGACTCTAATACTGAACAGAGCATTTCTAAAGAGCATTTCTAAAGGTGTTTTTCAGTACACTCCTCTCCCCAAAGATCTTGTCATATGCTCTTCCCAGTTTCATATTTTGGTTAACGTATTTGGTGTTTTCAGTTAAATTGTAATCCTATCTGCATTTTATGGAGGTCAAACAAAGGTATTTGGGAATAAAATTACTTGGAAATCAAGGGGGAAGTCCTGTCTTTTCAGCTGGATTTGTTTTCATTTCATAGTCAGTCTTGAACGTAGAGTTGACTCAAGTCATACCTCTGCTTGACAAGCTGGCAAATAAAGTTCTATCCTGGACAAAGAGATCCTTCCATTGCAACACAAGCAAATTAAGCAAGAAACTTCTAACCAGAATTTTGTATTTTTTGAGAACTGAGAATTGAACAAGTTAGAAAATTAAATTGTGGATCAGAGCTGTTTATATTATCTTAGTTTCAAGGTAACTAGTTTCCTGATCTGGGTAAAACGGGATGTTTTGCTAGATTTAGTGTGCTTGTACCAAGGGTGGAATAAACAGGCTGCATCTACAGGTAAAAAGGACAATAAAAATATTTCACATCTCATTTGGGTAGGTACCATGTAAGCAGAGCTTATAAATGGTTTCACTTATAAATGGTTAATTGACAAATGCCTTTTATCAATACCGAACATGCTGCTGTTAGTTCCTGTGAGCGCTGGACAGTAGTTGGGTTCACAGACAACTAGTGGCAGGCAGTCATCTGAATAGAAGATGCACGACACTGCTGGTTACCACAATTACAGCTGTACCCATAGGCTAGTTTAAACAAAATTGCCCCATGCAGCCTGGTCTTGCAATCGCCATGGGCAGCAGGTTTACAAATCAGCCACTCTTGGGGCAGTAGCCCCAGTCTATTTACACTTACCCAATTAATGCTTAAGCGGGACAAGAAGACATTCCTTCCTTGGACAAAATTGTCAAAAGTTGTTTATGTTGGCTTTAGTATTTTGAACTCAGTATCTATGCATGTTTAAGAGCAAAATCATTCATTAGGTTTTTAAACCTTTTTTTTAAAGAAGTGTCAAAACTTGCCAGAAGAGGAACGTCTTACTCTACAGAGAGCATAGCAGATCTTGGCTGATCCTGAAAAGCTATCTGGTTTAATATTGAATGGAAGACCACCAGCAAATCCCAAGGGAAGCTTTTAAAAATCTAGAAAAAAGCAATGGAAAACCACTTCCATGCTATTGCCAAGAAAACTGGATGCACCCATGGTGTTGAGCTCAGCCTGAAGAATTTTGAGAGTCACTTGTATTCCGCAAGGCAAATTGTTCCACAATGTTGGAGCAGCTGTGTAGAAGTCTTTTATATGTTACTAACTGTATCTTCATTATAGGAGAGGTACAGAGAAGAGTCTCAGATTTCAGCAAGCAAATAGATTGGCATGGGAGGAGGAAATGCCTCAAGCTTCCTGGATCCAAACTATTTAGGGTTTTAAACAAGCACAATACTTTGAACTGTGCCAAGCTCCTAGTCATCCAGTCCAGATGTTGCAGGCTAGGGCAATGTCATTCCATGGGAGCATATTCACTAACATATTTGCTTTTATCCCCTGGATCAACAGTTCCTAAAGACTTCAAAAACAGAATCAAGCAGTGTGCTCTGTAGTTCAGTCTTGATACAAGTACTGTATACTTTAGCATAGTCAGATCTGAATTCCTCAGAAATAAAGGCCTCTTCTCATGGTCTTCTAGCAAAATCCTGAAATCTTACGTTGCAGATCTGGCTGTTCAAGGGGAATACAATCCTATCCAAAGATTCCGTCTTTTCAGCTACAGATTCCTTTAACTGCTGGATTCTCAGACAGCTCACCTTCCCTTCCAAGCACTAGCCTAGAACCCCAGCAGACACATTTGGAACTCCATGTGCCATGGGCTGTCTCTGAAAATGGTTGCTATGGGGAATGTCCATTCAAAATGGATGCCATAGCATTCATAGCCAATTTCAAAGCAACCGTTTCACTGAAGAATTAATGACTTTAACCAAAAACTAACCAGAAGTGGTGGTTCGAGGCCCAAAATGCAAAGTACTCCTTTGAACCCAAACTTCCTCAGAATTTCCCCTGACTCTGCTTCCTAGCATGCGTCAACTCAGCCCACTCACTTCTCTTTCAGGTTCATTGACTAGCGCATTCTTGTGCTCACACACACACACCTATTGTGTTCATGCTGTAACACAAGTTTAGAAAAATCCTCTCCGTTCTTCCCTCATGCCTCCCTAATCCCACCCACTGCGAAACAACTGACTTCCTCAAATTTCTCCTTCCCCTCCAAGCCCATCTCTCACTTCCCCTACTCTAGAAGCAGTCTGCAAATATCTAAAAGAAAGCCTAGTGCAAGAGATAGCAATGGTCCTGTTTAGTGGTGTTCCCAGAGGGGGAGTCAAAACAGGCAAGATTGTCATGATCCCACCCCTATTCTACATGCATCAATATTGCACACACATACAAAGGGATATACAACTGGTGACTTATCGTTTTGGACACCCCCACCCCCCCTCAGATGCCACCAGCAGAGGCATCTGGAGAGGGAAAGATGGCACCTTTGTGATGACATGCAAATGCCATGTCTTACATAGTTGTGTCAGTCATACTGTAAATAAAGCCAGTTTTTGCATGATGTTATCGTGTGCATGTTGTCATTTTGACATCATGGTTTATTACAAGGTTGGGGTTAGGGTTAGGCTGGACTAGAGCTATAAGAGCTCTTGTGGGAAAGCTAGTTCTCACATGATCAGAAATAAACAACCTGATATAAGATTGGACAAGGACCTGATGAAGAGTTTACTTCCCACCCAAAAGAACTTGGCTTCAGTTTGGGGTGAGAGAACTCTCAACATTGTTATCAATACAGCTTGCTTATGATACACAACAGTTGCTGGAATTCTTTTGTAATGGTTTCATCGTTTGGCTACAATAAATCTTTTCATTTGTATCCCTTGTATCCTGAGAAGTATATTTTAGCAATGTTTTCCCTTATTAATTAAGGAAGGCCTGACACCTTCCAATTCATAGCTTCTTCGACCTCCAGCAAGCTCTATGTATTCTGAGAAGGGATGATAAGGACTACACTCCGATCTTTCTGGTGGAGGGCAACAGGTTTGGAAAGGGTGATAAAGAAGACCATGCTGTAATTTAGTAAGTTCACGCTACGCTACCAGGCACACTTATTTAAGCGTAAACCCACTGAAACACTTGCAAAGAAGCTTTACTTCCAAATAAACATGCATAGGTTTGGATTTGTCAGCCCCACTAGTTATGCCACACCAGGAAATCAATGCACAGGAAGGCTAGACAGCCACTGAGATTGGCTATAGTAACAGAATCTGGGAAGTCTGATTCTGCTGTACCTCCTCTTCCTCCTCCTCCTCCTCCTCCTCCTCCTCCCTCAGTGAATCAGGGAGGTGTCTGCCTGAGCTGCTTCTGAACATTATCTTGTTTCCCAGAGCTTAAAAAAATGTTTCAGCCCCCTTTGCTTTGGTAATGGATCCTGCATATTTCCGTCAATGTCATCTCCTTTACTCTCTACAGGATTGCACATTTAAATCTAACAGATGTTGTTTTAAAAAAGGAATAGGAAACAAAAGGATGTATTCCCCAGTTGTGCTCAGTCACAATATTATGACTTTTTGTGGAATTAAACATATTTGAGTTTCCTTCTAAGAAAACATAGAAAGGATTGGTCTCGTTCCTATTTATTGTTCTAGGTTTCATAAATTGTTCAGAGCAAGCTATACTATCAATCAATCAATCAATAAACTGGGCTTAAATGATTTCAAAATAACATTGAAATCAGCCACTTAAAATCTTGCTTAAAGAGACAAGTTTAATGGCTATAAAATGTTTGCTTTGAATCTCAGCTCTTTCATCAATATATTTGCATACCTTAAGCAAAATACCGAATCTCTGCAGCTTGGGGAATAATGCCATTCTAGGAAAACAAGATATCATGTAGGTGAATACACAGAAAACTCTCAAGGTAATAATTGCTATAGCAGTCCTGACTGACCATTTAAAAATATGAGTTTTAAAGACTGCAGTAGAGGCCGAGAGGGGAGGCAATGCCAGGGAAATATAGGAGTTAAAGTGTTGGACTAGACTTTGGAGGCCCAGCGTCACCATCAGGCGTGAAAATGTGGTGACTTTGGGCCAATTTCACACTCTCCCAACTCCCCTCATTTGTTGATGAACTGGAAAAATGGGAAGAGGGAGCATTATATACACTTTGAGTTTCTAAAGAAAAGAGGGAAATGTGTCTAACAAATAAAGAAGCCAGGCTCACAAGCTGCTCCCCTAACAGTCTGCCTTTTTTGTTTACCTTCAAAAACTGGCAGCCTCCTACCAGCCTGGTCAGTTTTTATTACAGCTTTATCATGCTAGGACTGTTCCTCAAGTTTCCTTTGTTTTTCTCCTTTCCTGATCATTTTTCATTAGTTATGCCTTTTACATAATAGATAATTCTTGTTTACTGGATCCCAATGGAAATTATCCTCCCTCCAGAAGGATGTGGGTATCTGGTATTCAGATACTGTATAGGCTACCTCTTGATAGGGACCAAAAATTAGGAGTCTGATAGCACCTTTTCCAACCAACAAATTTTATTAGGGGTATTTTTTTATTAGGGTCAAAAGCAGTTTAATAAGACTTTTCTGCTCCATTCGTCTCTTTAATCTTTCTTTTAAAAAAAAAACAATCCTAACACTACATCTTGCCACTGTGAATTCAGAGTTACAGATTGTGTAAGGGACTCTGTTCTGCTCTCTGTCCCCAAGTGTTCAGTGGCCGAATTCTGCACATGCTCAGAGGCGCGCACGTCCCGAGCAGCCGAGCGGCTTCCCGCGGACCTTCCCTTCGGCTCCTCCTGCGCCGCGCGCGCCCGCCCGCCAGCCCCCCGAAGCGCCGGGCCCCTTCCTCACCGTCGCCGTAGCGCAGCCACCGGCCGTAGAGGCCAAAGGGGAAGAGGCGGCGGTAATAGAGGCGCAGCAAGTCAGGCAAGGAGCCGGGGTCGAAACCGGCCATGGTCGCGGCAAGCGGGAGAGCGCGGGAGAAAGTAGGCGCCTCCCCTTGCCGCTCCAGAGCCAATCCGAACAGCGGGACGTCTTGGAGCTTCTGGGAGTTGTAGTCCCGGTGAAGAAACTGAGAAGGGTCATGAGCTACGAGGC